TGTTCTAGCGAAATGATCACCCGGCTTACCCTAGGAAACAAGAGGATATCCTCACCTACTGTCGCTTGATCATCAAAATGATCACCCAGCCTGCTGGGCAAGCCTCTCCCTCCTCGCTTCCGTGCACTGAGTTTGTACAGATGATTTGGTAAGAGATACGTGTAGATATGAAGGGTAATTTATTGTTGTAGCGTCCATTTATCTATTTTTGGCAAATTGACTGCTTGACTCTAATTTTTGAGGATGCAAGAGCCTTCGTGGTAAGAGAGATATTCGAAACAGAGTCGTCGTACGTAGAAAGCTTGAACCTCCTTGTACACGTAAGCAGCCATAAGCGGAAGCGCAGATCGACATTGTTGAAACTCATTTTGATTATTTCTAGAAGTACCTTCGGCCGTTGAAACGACCTGAGTTATGCACCTTAATAGAGCCAGGACTGCTAAACTCAATTTTCTTCCAAATACCGGAAATTTTAGGTCATCATGAACTGCTGTACTCCGCGCTCAAGGCACGCATAGAGCGATGGGACTATCGTACCAAAGTCGGCGACATTATTCTGAACAGCGTAAGTTAAAATATGCGTTATTATTTTGATAACCTGTGTAGCTGATCTGTCGTTGTTCCATGGTAATTCAATGTATCGCAAAAAATTTGAATTTAATCCCTCATTTTATGCCGATATCGCACTGTTTAAGCTGATACTCATTTGATTCTATGGTTTGGAGCACTAGAACAGAGAAAAAATTTTCAAGGACCAGAACAAGTCTACTTTTGACCGAAAAAACATCGTTAATCATTATGCAACGAATCAATTGATTTGAGACTCCTTGAATCAGCTGAAGATCTTGACCTGACTGGGAAAACATTTAATCAGTCGATAATTGTACCTTATTTTTGGACATTCTCTGATCATGGAAGATCGTGTGTTGGTAATCATACTGAGAAATAGCATAAAGTGGGCGGGGGGCGGGTATTTCGTCAGGATCATCGGCCTGTTTCGATCCACTGCTGGAAGAAGCCTCCTCACAACTTTTACATTGAGTTCTACTATAGGTTACGCGAAACAAAATGTGTTTAATAAGGGACTAACAGATACCAACATTTTGGCCAGTACCTCGGGGGCCTTCTTCAAAGAAAAGATGTTCAAAATGTTTGCTGATCGTCCGAGCGTTCTGCAGCAGGTGGTGCGCTTAAACTCTCGATTTCACGGCTGCAAGCACACACCTGCTGCAGATGACTCTGGCGATCAGCAAACAGTTTGAACATCACTTTCTTGATGAAAACTCCTGAAATGAGGGCTGAAATGTCGATGTCTGTCAATCATTGAATTAAACACCGTTTACACTGTGTCTATGCATCGTTTTCATGCAATTTTTCATCACTGTTGATGCCAGTTCGGTCGAAATGACCAATCGATGTTAAATATGAAAGTTGAGAAAAATTATTAAAGATTAATTTCCTCTTTTCATCATCGTTGAGGATCATCGGATCACTCCGATCCGTCGTTGTTTATGAATGCAACTATGCGCTGCTCTGAACCTTCCTACAACTTATGAACACATCTTTTCAGTTTACGAAGCAGTCCATGATCGACACGTACACGGCGTTCATCAACAACTGGCGAAATGCTCGAATGGCAATTAGATCGGCGTGTCACGCGAAGCCGGCGTTTGCCAAGTACTTGGAAGTAACTGCATGCCGTCAGCCGCATAAGATAGATAATTGCAACGTTGTATGTCCTGTTTTCAGCGATGTTCAAGGGAACACAAAAACAAGCTGACACTAGACGCTCTGTTGATCATGCCAGTTCAACGCGTTCCTCGTTACAAACTCCTCATCAAGGTAAAGAACAGCGACTGAACCTCTTTTTGAATTGTACACGATTCGCTGTTCGAATCCACAGCTGTGACAGGAGATCGTTGTCCATGTCGATGGTAACAAAAACTACCGGTTTGCTGGTAAACCCCAAACAAAGAGAACAGTTTTTATAATATATGCATACGGATAAAAATATGTTTTCGTTCGACAGGACAAAGTAGTGCTGTCTTGCAGCCACGTACGCAAATGCCAAAATACCACCTTTGAATCGTGGCCTGCTTAAGCGGACCCCAGGTTACTAGAAAAAGGAGGACGATGGGACTATACGGTACGAATCCGGAAAAGTGACACAACACTGTACGCAGTCCTATGGAAAGAATGCTCAGGATACAAACGGTTTATATAGTCAGCAATTCATTCTGTCCATACAAAAGATCAGCGTTGATTTCGCTATCATGGGACTATATGCAAGCTCTCATAGCTGTCATTGCCATGTAGGGCTAATACAACCTGAACAGCAGAAGAGTTCTGATATTTTTTCTAATCGTGTGAAACTGTTTAGTGGATTCGTGCAGGACAACATTTAACTTTACTGAGAAGGTCCTATTCCTCATTGTAAGCTTCTCAATCCTCAAGATTCATTTTCAATTTTTATTACTGTTTCCCAACACGTCTGTGAAGCGTACTAATCATATTTCTAATATCTCTCTCAGTCGTTTAATCGGAACAACGTGGCCCTTGATCAATGAATTCTCCTGGCAGTTTTCTCAAAATGGCCGCTCGTTCATTACCTAGTGATACCACGATACTTTTGGAACACGCCGTAGACAGCTCCAAATCAAGTTCTTAAACAAAATGCCATGAGGCAGCATAACCCGACTGTAATATCAGACTGTGCATGAGCAAAACGAATGCGGTTCCTTCAAGATGCGGTTAGCGTTACTGTTCATACTGTCGAAAATCTTTGAGAGTAGCAGAGAGTAAGAGTACTCCAACTGATATTAATGATAGGAAATGCTAGCCAACTGGTTCGTCGGAGCAGCTGAAAATTAGTACAAGTGAACCTCACGTTCTGTAAATCTTTCACATCATTCCATATCCTATCAATTTCAAAGAAGAGTTAGCGCACATCCTACTATTTACAAGTAAACTAGCGGATGTGCGAGACAACGCTCGGAAATGATTCATACACCCCTGCATCGCATCAGTAAGTATTCATGCCGTATGAGCGATAATTGTGGGTCTAACGAGCGCCAATGTTGAGATACTGTAGCCACATTTCGACTACTCTGTCGTCCAGGCTCAAGGAGATAAAAGCCTGCCGATGGATCGAATTCTTAGGAGTGGAGGAACAGGGTTGATAGAAAATCTCCAACCCTACTTCAAATATAGACTTCCAAACGTTTTGCAGAATAATGGATACATGAAATAACTGCATCTTCATTTAAAGTGGTTCTGGAGACCGAGTGTTCCAGGTGTCATAGTGTTACACTACTGTAGACTCCTGGATTATCCTGAAAAACCTAAGCCAAACAATTGATTGGAGACTTTATCCAGATCAAGCCGGTTTCTGGTCGGTATGCTCCTGCTTTGACCAAATTTTCGTTCTGCATCGGATCATTTCATGCCGACAATTGCGTTTGCTTTGGTTTGTCAGTTTCCTCAACCTTGAGGTTACATTCCATCCGCTACGCGTTGGACGATGTGGAAAATCTTGAAATGCTATTGAACACCTGAGCACTTCTTATTTGTTTTGGAAGAGATGTCTGCAGGAACTTTGTCTGCTGTCAAAGTCGAATCAGAGTCAGAGTTATCTGAGTGATTTTCTATTAACTGTAGAGTTCGCCCTGAAGATGTACTTCTAGCCTTCATAATTTAATGTTATTCTTGGTTTTTTCTTCGAAACCGTGCTAACCGTTACATAGACGATGGTCTCCTTTTAATGGAATGAGGGAAGGAGTCGGTCAAGACATTCAATTAAACATTTTGCTGTCCTGTGGAAAGCAAAAGGTACTGTCCTTGTGGATAATACGGAAATCGAGCTGTGTTACCTGACGACTGACAGTCGGCGACTTCCTTAACGCCCGGAAGTCCAAAGTTATGAGGAGTCTATGCTGTAGCGCTGATATAGAAATGGAACAGCAAAGTAAAGCGCTTGAGGAGGTGTATTTCAGCAGTCAGGAACAGGAGAACCTCAATATCCTAAAATGCTTTTGGAAACCTGTGCAGCATTTGCCCTCAGAAATAAGTTATCGCCTCGAATATCCGTCTGAACACTGCTTTCGTCAGATCAGTGTTGTTTTACCACGTCGAGACGGCCGTTCCAACGAACAATTAACAACGTCGGTTGAACCGAACCGAACAACAGCATTGCCCTTTGGCGTAAAATTAGGGTTAAATGGCAGGCTATTTAAAGAATTGATTCACCCTCTCCAATGCACAGCTGCTGTGGAAGTTAAGAGCAAAAAATTGACCCTGTTATTAAAGATGATTGAGCATAATCTCTTTACTCCAACTGGTGTGTAAACGGAATCACGACAGCATGCGAGATGAAAGTACAAAGGCGAGAGTGTTCTGCTTTTGAAGAGGAACATATCCTTCCAAAATTGAGCAACCAGAGTTCGCAAATGAGTTCTAAAGCTACGAATACTGCGGCTATCACAAGTCAGTACCAACGTTGTACTTATGCATTCGGATCCAAGTGATGATGTGAGCAAACACAGAACAGACGTGATATGAGCCGGGCCAGTCTTGTTCAAACTATTACTATCGAGTGCTGTTTGCAATAATCGACCTTGAAATAAGTAGGTATTGCTGTTTCAGATTTTCTGCAGTCACATTTTATGCATGTCATCATACCAGATAGTCAGCAATCAGATAGGTCAGGACAAAATGTAATTATATGAGGCACTCGCATTAAAAAGCACGGTCACACACCTCATTCATTATGGTATTATAACTCATGAGGGTAGCATGTCGTCCCTGTTGTTCAAAAGTCGACTTTCAACCCGATTCTAGATACAACGTTGGGTGAGTTCTGTTCTCAACGGAATTTGAGGTTAATACAAAGGAGCCAACTGAATACGACACCTGTGCAACCACATTCAATGCACCTTTCATTCCATTCTTCATGCAAAAGATCTTTCCATACTCATTACCCCAAAATCTAAATCTGTTTCAATATGCGTGGGAAATGAACTCCATAAATATCCGCTATTCCAGTCATCGCCCATGTTGTTCCAAAACGATGAAACAGGCAGCAGAATCTATTTGGATTTCTGAAGAAATTGTTCGTTTAAATCTGCAGACTTACTTCACTATTCAGCTGAGAAGCTGTCTGATTTGCAACACTATGAATTAATAAATTTTCTCTTTCTGTTTCCGCCTGCGCATTTGTATTTAGCATCCAAAAGTTTCCTTATGTGAGTCCGATGCACTGACCGTTTCATGTTAAATATCCTCCTCATCAAGTAATGCCTTAAATGGCCCACCTCCTCTATTATCATATGTAACTATCCTAAGAATGCAGGGTCCGTGAGGTTGCGGAAGGCATTGACGCAAAAGGTTCATCGCTTTGGCGTGGCATCTCTATTTCTCAGCCACAAGTTTGATCGTCGTACGAAAGATGACCGTCGTTTCTTTCCCAATTCAAGGCTTATTATGATTTGCCAGTAGAATTGCTTAATGTCGTGGTGGACATTCAACCTTGGAAGTTTCCTGTAGTTGTCCAGATATTGAATTTGTAGCTTTATAAACTAAACCTCCGGCGAACTCAAATCCCTCACTGTCACAACTCATTAAGAGTACCATCATTGACCTACCTCATGTCGACGATCATCCTAAAACGTGTTCATCCTTCGTATTAACGCTCGAAGTTTAGGAGCTGCTTAAACACACGTCTGTGGAGCATGCCGACTACCCGCTCTTGCTACGGGCAGAAAAGGAGATTCACGAACTGGCGACCAAAATCGACCAGATTCAGACCGAGGTCGGCATGGCAGAGCAGATGCAGCAACAGCTGCGTGAAATAGAAGCCATCGTGGAAGGACTTGATGACGTACGACTAGGAAGCGTGACTATTTTAATGGTGCTATATCGCAAGTTTAGCTCGTGGCCGCCAACCGCTCGTTCAACCGCTATGACCTTGTTACAGTAACGGTTTGGAGGCATCGCTCAAGGACATTTACTTGGTTTTCACATGCGAACGTTTAGACTCCAAACGGTACAAAGGAACGTTGCTTTTTCCTTTTCTCTGATCTCCTGGTGATCACCACGGTCAAACGACGGCACGCGTCGAACGCGCGCAAAGGATACCAAAACTTTCTGGAGCAGCACAAGTTTAAGCTGCTCATGAAAGTTTCCCTGGAAGATCTCAACATCATTGAAAGTAAAGCTTGTCTGTTGGTACGAATGGAAGTGATCCGTTTCTGTTAAAGATAATATTAATTCCATCAACAAAGTAAAAGAAGATATCAGAGTTCTACAGGAAGATTTAAGGGTCCTTGGCAAAGTGTACGAACTCACTATGCTGCTGAAGTCAGAACATCAGGTATATTCACTATAAGCTTTTGATTATATCACTCCCGGGAGCAGAGTAGTCCAATGTGCTCTGTGTCAGCTGTAAATTGGCCCACGTGTAATCACACTGTCTGGCCCTATGATAGGATCATAATAGAGATTTCTACTCAGAGCATCTTAGCAAAGAACTTGGAGGCAAACCTTGGAGAACATGAGCGGTATCTTTTGCTTAACGAAGCCCTCCGATTATGCAACGGTTCATAGCCACCGTTTAGAAGGTCACCATTCATTGGCTCAAAGATCATGGTGCTAACCACGGGCATCGTTGATTACGCATTGACGTTCGCAAGCACGTGCATGTTCCCAACTAATATATACTTTCCTGTTAATAAACTCGTAATGAGGGAGTTGAGTTTCTGTCGAATGGCCTTACCTGCTACTGAATATCTCGTTCTCGGCAGGTCGGTATG